TTTTGGCGTACTGTGTTGTCCTTATTCGAGAATTGTTAGCTGGTTTTGATTGATTGGTTTGAAAGTTTATAAGGCTGCGGTTTTGATATTTGCTTGGTTCCTAGCCGTGGGTTTGTGATGTGGTTGAATTAGCCTCCCCCTTTGGTCTTACCCGTGAGCTCGCCATTGAGATTTGCTCCTCTTGCAATCCTTACTCGCGAGACCTACTGGAGGTTGTTTGGTGTGATTTAGTCCTTCTTGTTTGGCTTGAACTACTTGGATGATTGTAGGTGGATTGAAATTATGATTATATTTTGCACTCTCTTATGTATACCAAAGATCCTTATATAGCTAGTTTGGTTGCCTTAGCCGTGAGCCTTGTTGTTTCTTGGGTTATCTTTGGTCGTGGGTCTTAGCAACTGTTCCTTGCTGCTATGAGCCATGAGCCTTAGTAGTTGTCTCCCTTGTGGGTTGCTTTGGCCAAGAGCCTTAGTTGTTGTTCCTCTATTTGTTGAAGCCCGATCGTGAGCTTTTATGTGGTTTTAGCATGAGGATTTCATGTTTATTTGATACGAGGAGATTTTCACTAAGTCTGGAATTGAAGAGCTTTAATGTTGACATGTTTTTTGGAAGTATAAGTGGCCGCCGTCCTAAGGGTATATTCCTTTCATTTAAATTGTGAAGTTTGGGAGATTTCTGAATTTTATTTCGGGAGGATACTTGGTTGAGACGAATTGATTTCATAAAAGATATCTTTGGGGTTTTGTTATGAGGTCATTTTGACTTGGGTTGATCCACTTATGAAATAAGGTCATTTTGACTTGGGTTGATCCACTTATGAAAACGTGAGAAAATGATACCATTTAGGATTGATTCAAGGATCTTCGGACTTTCCTTTTCAGGTCTTTTCGTCACGAGTTTTGAGAGCTGATTCATCCTTCGTTCTTTTCGATGTTTTAGGCGAATCATTCCCTCCTCTCTCTCACCCCATTTTTATTTTTTTTCCTTGCTTCTTGGTTCGGTTTTTTATGCTTATATCTGATACATAAGTGTCCACGTATAGCCTCTTGTTATACGTGAAACCATCAAGCAAGTTCGTAAGTAGGTCGGTTTTGTTTTGGGGCTTAGGGCGGTGATGACAAAGACACACCGGAGATAGAGCAGAATGATATGTCATCCTACGGCATCGGGATCTGATTCAGGAACCCATCAGGATTCGATTCAGGAACCTGGTGAGCTGTAGGATGACAGTATCATTTACCGACACAAGACTAGCGGGAGTTGACCCGAACTTTCTTAGGTTGTTGGTAGTCTTATGCTCGACAGCGCGATCGACTTGTGGACAACTACTTCTCAAAATTGATAAAAACAAATTTGATAAGAACAGATACACCTTTTTCTAAAAAAAAATACTTTTTTTGCTAAAAATAAAATTGATACAGTCTACTTTTTACATGTTTGAAACCTATGTGCATGCTGAAAATATAATTTTTAAATACATTTTAAATATTAGTTGTACACCTGTTGATCACCTGTTTAGTCTAAGGAGTATCCTCCTGCGTTAGGTTCGATAGGACACTATTCTAGTTGAGTGGCGGGTTTTCTACATTCGGGTGACCGAGTAGCCTTCGACGACCCTCGAATACTAATATATAGTTGAGCCTATCCCCGACTCAAGTGCTTGCGGTCCCTCTCTTTTCGGACTTTTTCATATGTTTTTCTTGAAATTTTTGGACAAAGCACTCGTGGTCTCTTTTCGGGATTTTCCCGTGTTTTCTACGATTTTGATCGATTTGTCGATTCGTCGATTTCCTCGCATTTCTCTTGTCGTGAGCCTTTTGACGATCTTTCTCGAGATTTCTGGACGATGTTTTTTTAAAACATTTTACATGTTTCTTCAAGTTTTATTACTTGAACATGTTGCATCAATTACACTTAAGGAACAATGGATCTCTCAGGTATACATGTTTGTTTTATGTTTACAGCATGTTATTCTTTTATAATCACTTTCCTGCTGTATCTTTTACTTTTTTTTTACATCGCATGTTGTACTGTTTTCTTTACTGCATACTCTACTGTTTGTCTTGTGCTACATACTCTACTTTTATGTTATAGTCTTTGGTCGTGGGTCTTAGCAGCTGTTCCTTGCTGCTATGAGCCGTGAGCCTTAGTAGTTGTCTCCCTTGTGGGTTGCTTTGGCCAAGAGCCTTAGCTGTTGTTCATCTATTTGTTGAAGCCCGGTCGTGAGCTTTTATGTGGTACAGCTAAATCATTCCTTTCATAGAAATTAAAACAACAATCCATAGGATTTTTATGTGGTTTTAGCAGGAGAATTTCATGTTTATTTGATACGAGGAGATTTTCACTAAGTTTGGAATTGAATAGCTTTAATGTTGACATGATTTTTGGAAGTATAAGTACATTTGTACAGTTCTACTCTGCAATCTAAGTCATAACTCGTTTTAGGATTCCGAGGTTGTCGTTCGTTACAACTTAAATCCTCACATCTTCCAGGCTATTTGTGTGATTGTTTCACGCGAATGTAAGCCCTAAATACATAAAATTGATAGGATAAAACACTTGAATATTTCTCCTCGAAACTGCTCGATACATAAGTGTCCAGGTATAGTCTCTTGCTATACGTGAAACCATCAAGCAAGGTCGTAAGTAGGTCGGTTTTGTTTTGGGGCTTAGGGCGGTGATGACAAAGACACACCGGCTTTGGATTCTGTAATAAATATTTCAAATTTGAATCATTCCCCTTTCACACCTCTTTGTTCGATTTAGTTGAAAAGTCTCATCCTTTTGAAGTCTTTGAAAATAATTTTTTCTGTTTTTTATCGAGAGTATTCTTAAATGACTTCGGTCATTTAAGATGTAATTAACTATAAATGCTTGCTCTTATAGGAAGCTTTTTTGAACCCAGCTTAAAATAAATTCTATTTAATTTTTTATATTAAATAGAGGAATTTATCGGCAAATAAAACAGTTTCGCAGACCAAACGGACGTCATATATTTCTTAGTTTATTTGATCGAGTCTCATCCTAAGTCTTGTGTTTATCCCTCGGGTTAGATACAGGGTTTGAGGTAGAAAGCTCTTTCATTTAAACTGTGAAAATTATAAGGTCAGTTTGATTTCATATTTTTTTAAACTTAAATCTATATGTAAATTAAAACGTCCTTTCGAAGCGGGCGACAAGATTTTGATTCCGGTAACCGACAGCTTCTTACGGGCAACACTCCCCCAACATTTTATCGCCGACACCCGCCTTAGTGCTTTTCACGAAAAAATGCAATGAAGCGCACTTTGCGTCAAAAAATCGCCTCAAATTTTTTAAGCTATTTACAATTTTTTTTTTAATTAAAAATAATATCAGTATGCTTTACCTAGCAACTCTCACGCCTCACACGCTAAATAACAATAAATAAATGGAATTTGTATCCATAAAGAATTAAATAGTTGAAGTTCTAACTATTAATATAATTTACTTAATTAATATTTTTATTGAGAAATGGGAGAATAAATAAATATGACTAAGGATAAACAAAGAATAAACAATTCATTTTATTGGTGATTCTAATTAAAATCAATTGTGTGACTAGAGCAATAGGGATTTTTAAATTTAAAATTAAAATATTGATGCCTTGTTATATTTTTGTTTAAGTGGAGGATAGTATGAGTAAGAAAAAATGATTTATGTTGAACTTATTTTGATTATTATGCTTTGATGGCTTATTATTTTATGTTAATATCTTAGCTTATTTTGATAATTTAATGTTTGGAAAACCCCTCTTATTTTATAATTTGATGTTAGGATATTATTGTATCACTCCAAATTTTACATAATTTATTTTTTTATTTAATTTTAATATTTTTATATTACTTTTTAATGTGTTAGTATTAATATGTTTTTTTTTTTTTTTTGTTATTTTTTTATTTAATTATAATATTTTTATATTACTTTTTAATGTGTTAGTATTAATATGTTTTTTTTTTTTACTTGGCACTTTTTTTACACAATATTTATTTATTTACTCAATTTTTTGGCTTCTGCCTCAAAACTCCTTGTGGATTATGCCTCGCTTCTTGAATTAGAAAGGCATCAGTACCCAGTTAGGTAATTTTAAAACTTGTTCCGAACTATGGATAGTTTGATGTTAGGATATTATTGTATCACTCCAAATTTTACATAATTTATTTTTTTATTTAATTATAATATTTTTATATTACTTTTTAATGTGTTAGTATTAATATGTTTTTTTTTTTTACTTGGCACTTTTTTTACACAATATTTATTTATTTACTCAATTTTTTGGCTTCTGCCTCAAAACTCCTTGTGGATTATGCCTCGCTTCTTGAATTAGAAAGGCATCAGTACCCAGTTAGGTAATTTTAAAACTTGTTCCGAACTATGGGTAGTTCGATGTAAGGATATTATTGTATCACTCCAAATTTTACATAATTTATTTTTTTATTTAATTATAATATTTTTATATTACTTTTTAATGTGTTAGTATTAGTATGTTTTTTTTTTTTACTTGGCACTTTTTTTACACAATATTTATTTATTTACTCAATTTTTTGGCTTCTGCCTCAAAACTCCTTGTGGATTATGCCTCGCTTCTTGAATTAGAAAGGCATCAGTACCCAGTTAGGTAATTTTAAAACTTGTTCCGAACTATGGGTAGTTTGCTGCTGTGTCTGAAATCTTGTTATCTTAGCCTCCCTAATTTTGTATAACAGAGCATATTTTACTTTGGTTTTAACATTGTTGATTTTTAATAAATTAAATTGCTAGACTTACAAGCCTGGTATGTATTGGCCAGATGCTTTATTATCTTTCTGCTTATATTTTTATGATTTCCCCCCTTTGTTCTGTGCACAATACTTTTCTATATGATGAATGCATGTTTTTTTATCTTATCCTTCTATTTGTTGAATGTTGTCCTAATTTGTCAATATTGCTGTGTAAATGGGCACCTCATTTTTTGATTTGATCTGTCATATGGTCTATTTCAGGGCACTTTATTGTGATATGTGGCTACGATGCAGAAGGCAGTGAGTTTGAAATAAGAGACCCTGCCAGTTCTAGGTATCCTGTTTCTTTATTCATATATTAAATTGAATTTATGGCCTATTGATCACTGTACTGAAAACCAAAAGGCATGTACGGTTGCTGACCCAGGTGAAGCAGGGGCTGCATATCCTATGTTGATAGTTTTACCTATGCTTTCCTATGTTTTCCTACAAGTTGATAGTTTTACCTTATTTGATTTAGGGAAAAGAAACGGTTATGCACATTTTTGATGCTTTGACCTTAAGATTTGATTGAAGAAAGCTATAAATGTGTTTTCTGCTATGATGGAGTCCTTTCTTATTTTCTAGATTATTTTGATATTTTTTATTTGTCTTCAACTATATTAATTAGGAAGATTTACATACTTACCACTCAATTTCTGTGTGTTTACATATCTAACACCCAAACTTCAATTTTTGCATACATGCCACCACGTTACTTATGCATGAAAAGGTTCGTTTCACTTTTTAATAGTTAAACTAGTGGTATTTTTGATGTGATATGAAAGATTTGAGTGGTTTAAATGTAAAAAGCAAAGTTTAAGCATTAGATATTAAAATATATAGATGTTCCATTAATATAATTCTCACATATGCTATACTGGCTACCTATTGATAAGTTTTCATGTTTGGTCAGGGTAACACCCCATGCAATTTTCCCTTTCATTTTATATTGCTTGTCAGTGGATTTTAAAGAACCAATGAACACTACATTTTCTTTCTATTTATTGTTATATCTATCAGTTTATGGGAGTTGTTTATTCAGTGCTTATTCACTTGTTAATACTGGTAGAAATCCTCCTAGAGAGTGTTGCTGACATTTCACATTTGTGTACTTTATGACAAAATATTATTGCCATTGACCAATACTTGTGGGTAGGTAAAAAATTGTGGGATTTGTGGTCGCTTTGTTGCTTGTTTCTTGCATTCCATGGTCTTAGTATTGCAACTTTATGCCATTACAAAGTTTCCTTTCCCCAATGGGTATTTTATGTTGAAAAATATGAATTGAATTTTCTTTTCCTGATTTTCTTTTATGATTTTGCAGAAAGAATGAAAGAGTTTCTCTGGAGTGTCTAGACTCTGCACGCAAATGTTATGGCACTGATGAGGACATAATTTTGGTAACAATCATTTATGAGATATCTACCTTCTAAACATGTCCTTTCGTTAAATCAATAGTAAACTTGTAAAAGTTTATCTTCCAACATCAGTTAAATAGATACGATATCTTTTATAGGAAGATTGACATTCTCTGCTCCAGCTGAAATCACACCATTGATCTGCATTTAAACATACCAAAAACTGATGTTCTAAGTATGAAATATAAAACCTCCATTTTGACTTGAAAGAAAATCTTATTTACACCATGCATGGTTCCTTGTTCAAAGGCAAATCTAAATAAGTTAGATGAATCCTCAAATTTATCTATTGAATGAAACACATCACACCATTTTGGTTTGTTACATATGGGGTTGTTCGGTATGTTATTCTTAGTATGCATGCTTTTTGGTTTTGTAGCATAAAACAAATACAATGGTAAAACAACTACAATTTATTTTGTCTGCTAAAATTTCATTTTTTGGTTGAATTAAAACCGCGTGCAAGAAAATGTATGCTTAATGTAAAAGGAAAATCGCCTAATTTTAACAAATTTCTTTTGTAGGTAGAATTTAACTTCTGGTGTTTTTCATTTGCATCAAAAATTTATTTTACCCTAATTTTTTTTTGAACTAGTCTCCCTAGTTTGAAATCTTGTCAAGTACCTTTGGCTTTTTGTAAGAGCTTTGTTTTTTTTCCCAAGCAATTTAGTAATCATTAACATAGCCGTGGACTAACTATTCCAGGCCTTTTTTCCTTCTCATATATGTTGAATGCTTTATGAAACTATATTTTTTACATATCTTCTCATTTGGTCCTTTTTTTTAATTTCTAAACCATTTGGAATGGGAATTTAGCCCTAGTTAGTCCTTAAGAAGAGACCATCAATTTTATTTGGTTGATCAAGTGTGCCTTAATTATACTTATTAGTTTTATTAGTGCTTGTTCTACTTTTAATTATATATGCCACAGCCAAGTAGTCTATTTTAAAAAAAATTTCTTTAGTAACTCATTTATTCTTTTTTAAAATAATCATCTCAAATACAACCCTTGACTTTCCAAGCAATTTAGTAATCATTTCCATAATCGTTAACATAGCCGTAGACTAACTATTCCAGGCCTTTTTTCCTTCTCATATATGTTGAATGCTTTATGAAACTATTTTTTTTACATATCTTCTCATTTGGTCCTTTTTTTTAATTTCTAAACCATTTGGAATGGGAATTTAGCCCTAGTTAGTCCTTAAGAAGAGACCATCAATTTTATTTGGTTGATCAAGTGTGCCTTAATTATACTTATTAGTTTTATTAGTGTTTGTTCTACTTTTAATTATACATGCCACAGCCAAGTAGTCTGTTTTAAAAATTTTTTCTTTAGTAACTCATTTATTGTTTTTTAAAATAATCATCTCAAATACAACCCTTGACTAGAGATTATTGAGAGCTCAGAAATTTGGAGAACCTTGGAGCTCTGTTTGATCATCAGTGCTTGATCGTCATTGCTCAACCACTATCTTCGCATCGCGGTCGACCACTCTCCACTTAGGATCAACTCCGCACGATCACTATCTCCAGAATCTTGTAACCTGATCCTTTAGCTCATCGTTGTTGTTGGACCACCATTGCCTGATTATTTTCATCAAATTGTAGTTGCTCTTCCACCACTGAGTGATCATCTCGACCATTGCCATTAGATCGGTCCATCGTCGTTTGATTGTTGCGGATGTCTATAGTTGTTTGACCATCATTTGACTATGGTCTCCTAATCATGATCATGATCGTTTATGACACGAGTCCCATAGCGAAGCAGAACTCAATTTTTGCATGAAACGAGCCAGGCGCAACCCCACACCGTTCGATTGAGGGTTGATTGGCCCTCTTTTTTTAATGGGGAGTGCCACCCACCCTATTGGGCCCACTCCTCAATTACCTTAAGTTTATATATGTTATACCATCGTATTATGTGGGTTGTTTTTTGTGTTTTATGTTAGGACAATTGTCAGCATTGAGGTTTTTTCCTTCTACGGTTATATCCAACGACGGATGGTACTCTGACTCTATCTCGTCTAAGGTGTTGATTATCCTTGACCTTCCCACTCTTCTACAACCTTCCCCGCACTGCCTCCATCACCATATTCACTACAGCCACCCTGGAAGCAGTCACCATGATGTTTTCCTGGAGCCTCTAGCCTCTTAGCCTCCTCCCCCCTTCCCTTCTTACATTGCTGCCACCCAAACCACTCCTCTCCAATCTTTTTCATGTGGTTCCAACCCCTCCCACCTTGCCGCCGCCACACAGGACAACCAGGGAGCACTGCCTTCTGGTTATTCCGCCGCTACCCACCCCAACTCCTCACTGCCACCATCTAGGACAATAACCATACTTAACCATACTTGTTGTCCCTACATTTTTACACCTTTTCTGTTACTAGCATTTCTTTTCTGCCGCCACATCCGTCAGCCATTCGAATCCACCTAGTTGCCCCTACATTTTTACAGCTTACTTTTCTGTTACTAGCATTTCTTTGCTGCCGCCACATCCGTCAGCCATTCGAATCCACCTAACCGACCTCCACCACCCTTGGGATACACTTTAGTAGTGTTTGTTTATGTATGTTGTATTTCTCTTTCAAGTGTATTTAGTTGTAATCATCTATTTGCATTTAGTAATAATATTTGTCTTCCTAGTGTTGTTTTGGGAGGTTGTCCAACTTCCATCATCCGACTACGATCTCCTAACCATCATCATCCGTCTGCAACCATCAACTATGGTCACTCAATTACCATTGTTGGACTACAGTTGTTTGACCATGAATAAATTACAGTCATTTAGTGACAGTCGTCCGACTATGATTACTCGACCAATTTTGTCTAACCATGATCTCTAGTCTATAGTTAGTCGACCTTCATCACTCAACTACAATCATCTGATCATAGTCCCCCATCTACTAGTTCTCAGTTTTTATCACACAACCATGATCTTTTGAGCACCATCAGCCATCTACGAACGCCAAACCATTGTAAATTAAATATGATTATTTCACCATTTTTGCACAACTATGGTCATCCAACCACCATTGTCTGATTTGAGATTATTTGGACTCAAATGTCTAGAGTCTTTGAGCTCTATTTGATCACAAACTTCAGAACGTCACTGCCTGACCATCGTCTTCAAATCATGGTTGATCACTCTCTATTACAAGCCACCACCACTACCCAATTATTATCTTCACAATGTTATCATCTGACCACTGCATTTGATCACTATTGTTGATCCGTCATTGCTCAAACATTGTCATCAAACTGTAGCCGCTTATCCACCATTGTTGGATCGTTGTCAATAGATTTTTCATATTTGGTCCATTGTCGCTGCATTTTTACTACCTATCTATAGTTTTTCTTATCTCCTTTGCTATATTGTGGTCGTCCAACTCTAATTATCCATCTATGGTTGTCCAACTTTTACTGTTTAACCAAAATCTCTTGATCATCGTCATTTGTCCATAATCGCCAACTACTTTCATTTAATCACCATTGTTGAACTACAGTTTTTTGAACATAACTCAATTAAGGACATCTAGTGACAGTCACCTAACTGTGATTGTTTGACCACTATTGTTTAACAACAATCTCCCATCTATAATTGGTCATTTTTCATTGTTCAATTATAGTTATTGGCTGCAATCGCCGGTCTAGCATGCCTGATCTTTTTCACAACTAAGTTCTTTTGCCACCACCATCTAAAGACCCTGACCATTATAACTTGAATATGGACATATGACTATCATTTCCTGACTGGTCGTCTGATAAGTATCGCCCAATTACAATCATTTGATCATTATCATTTGACTAAAGTAACTTAATCATTATGAACATCTGGCCTCTGCCACTCGATCATCCGACTATGACTTTTGACGACCAACACCTGTAGACTTTACTGTCTTCCATCACTTACCGTGTGTCGTTGATGTATGTTATTGTTTATAAAGTTAATGCACCAATGTTAATGCACACTGACCTCTTTGCCCATCATCGCCAACATTGTTGATGCATGTTGTCGACAAACATAATTTGCTTATAAGATCGGTGCACATCATCGCTGTATATCAAAACTTATAATGCCAATGTATGACATTGATACTAACACGTTAACTCATCAATTTCATCACCCTTCATCTCCAATATTGCTGACACATGTTATTGATGAAAGGGCTGAAACATTTTGTTCTCATCAAGATTATATTGGAATTCTTGGTCTCTTGACTCTTTTCCTTGAAAAAGACAATCAAACGCATTGCAAACAATCTCTTGAGGATAATTTTAATTTCTCTAAGATCTTCCAACTTCTGCTACAGAATTAACTCTACTTTTCTATTTTATTGTAAGAAAGACATTGTCTTTAACCTATGATACACATTCGTAAAATGGTTTTAGTTGGTAAGAATTCATGTTTTTTCCCTATTGTGGATTTCTATTTATAAACTCTCCTGTCTCGTTTGAAAGTATTCTCTTATTTATGTTTATGTTGGATTTTCTTACAAAATCTATATATTAATGTCTCACTCAATCTCCCCAAATTTCCTTGTGCACAACAATTATAAACCTATATAAAAGTTTGTTTGATTTGCATATTTTATGTTTGATCATTTTCTTCATTTTAATTATAATATAGATTTTCAGTTGATGCAATTTGAAGTCGAACATTAGAATTAAAAGAATTTTCAGTTCAAGTATTAGACCTAGCTTGTTTAACATAGGTCTGTGAATGTAATGGGGGCACATTTAGCCAAGTGCATATGAGGAGGAGAAATCGTTTGTTAGGATTATGATGATCAATACGAAACTAAAAGACAGACGTCACATTAAAATTATGGAAGGATAATGATGATTTTTTGATACTTGAAGAGTTACCTTTAATTAGGTGGTTAAACAAGATGTTGGAGGTCAAGAGATTGCAAAAGATATCACTGAAAAGGTTGATATTGAGTTATGTGATGAAACAAGCAGGAGTGGGAGTTGTAAAAAAATTCAAAAAAAGTTAACATAATGTATTCACTTTTTTCACTAACTTGTACTTAAATATCTTGGTGGAGGGAAAAAGATTTTTTTTTTTTTTTTGGTGAAAAAATGAAGATAATAAAGAGAAAAATCGGATCGAGAAAAATCGGAAAATAAAAAACAGCGAAAACACACAGATTTACGTAGTTCGGCAAATTGCCTATGTCCATGGAGCTGCAGAAGATTTTATTACTCGAGGATTACACCTGTCGTTCACCTCGACGATTATAAGAAAGAACAATCTCTCTCTCTCTTCTCTCTCCTCTCCTCTCTCTCTCTCTCTACCCTAGAGCCACAATAAAGAAGAAGAAACATCGGAGGGAAACCAAATTCCAAGGGAGCTAACAAGGGGAGCTGACATGCTTATTTATTTATTCTATCATGTCATTAGACCATTAAGGAATTAATCAAATAATTAATGAAGAACATTAATTATTTTCTTTTCACTTCTGCAGCAAATCATAGAAGAGATTAAGAGCAATTAATTTAGCAATTAATTTTGAGTATCAAATTCAATTTGTTGTCAAACATGAGAAAATATCAATTTGAACATTTGACCGGTTTTCATATTCGCAACAAATCTCCCACTTGGAAACTGATACACTGACGGCATCATCCACTAGCTGTGTCGCATTTTTCTTCAAATGTGATGTCAATTAGCTCTGCAACTCACCCCGTTTTTCATGCCAGAAGACCAGCTAAAGTCGAGCACAACTTCAGTTTCTCAAAAGTAACACCCTTGATCGACATATCATCGTCAACATATCTTTGTACCTCTAGAATCTTTCCTGGGTTACTCATGTTTTCGCTTACAACTCTCACTGTATGGGCAATATCTTGCCTTTGCTGAAGCTATTTTCAACAAGTATAGCATTGTACCTCTTACTGCCATCAAGCGCGGTCTTCACCCGGTACACAAACTTGTTGTGCAATGTCTTCTTCTCTAGTGGAAGTTCCATCAGCTTCCAAGTCTGATTCCCTGGCAGGGAATCTATTTTTTTCGGTCGCTTTCCCGGTGATGGAAGATGAAATTTCTTCTCATTGAGGTAGTCTTCTATCTGTATTTTCCAGTAACCAAAATCTGTGTCATTAAACTCCTCGATCTTCGATGTCATCACATCATCTCTGGTCATAGATTTCCCTCAGATTTGACCTGAGTTCTGATGCCAGTTGTTGTGAAAAACGACGGCAATAAAGAGAAAAACCAGATCGAGAAAAATTGAAAAACAGAAAACAACGAAAACACACAGATTTACGTGGTTCGGAAAATTGCCTATGTCCACGTAGCTGCAGAGGATTCTATTACTCGAGGATTACACCTGTCGATCGCCTCGACGATTACAAGAAAGAACAATCTCTCTCTTCTCCTCTCTCTTTCTCTCTCTACCCGACAGCCACAATCAAGAAGAAAAAACGCCGGAGGGAAACTAAATCCCCAGGGAACTAACAAGGGGAGCTAGCATGTCTATTTATTAATTCTATCATGTCATTAGACCCATTAAAAATTTAACTAAATAATTAATGAAGTCCATTAACTTTTTTCTTTCCTCTTTTGCAGCAAATCATAGAAGGGATTAAGAGCAATTAATTTTGAGTATCAAATCCAATTTGCTGTCAAAGATGAGATAATGTCAATTTGAACAGTGGACCGGTTTCCATATTCACAACATTTTTTGAGGAAGAAAATAATTTGAAATAATCTAATGGCGTTGAAGTGGAGGAAAAGGATATAGCTATTTTATATGACGATTTTTTATTTTTTATTTTTGGAAAAGACCCTCCTAGTCAATAATATTATCTTTATGATGATGGCTTTATTGATTTTTAGGGATTTAGATTTGTGTTTGAATATTATTTTAGAAACTTCAGTATTATCCTAGGTGCAATATTTTATGCTTTTGACTTCTTTTTTGAGTTTTAGACTTTATATTTTTTTATAATGTGAATTTTTTCCTTCTTTAATGATATAAGATTATGTTTTAGTTGATTATATGTTTCTGATTATCCATAACTTTTTTTTTTCATTTAATCAAAGTTTTTCACCTCATTCAACCTCAGAACTTCTGAAGCATCAATGTCCAAATACGTTTTGTAAAACCTTGAGTGGACGTAGTGGTGTTTCCTCATTTAGAGTAACACAAGGTCCTATGGGCCAATTTGTTGCAGATGTTAAAAATCTGAAGGGTTGAGTAATTCTACAATGCGTAAGATTTCCTTGGACTATGAATTAGGGTGCTGGAGAATTAATATGCATGATAATTGAAAGAACTAACTTCGCATGTCTGTAAGTAGTTGAATGGAAAAAATAAAAGTATATGCTATTTAGATTACAGATAGGTTTGGAATGAGGATATTATGGATAATTGAAAGGTAAAATTATTTGATGAAATTTGGTTTGTTGTATTGATTTATTTGAGCAATTTAATGATATATATGTAATTAATGATTTTACTCCTAAAGTTGAATTAAAAGAATGTTTAATAATTAATTTTTGACATAAATATGCAGACCGCAATACTATAGAATTATAATAAAATATTAGGTTGGTATGAAAAATAAGAGAGCGTGATGTGATGCAAGTTATAGCATTAGTAATATATAAAATACAGTGCTGCATGGACTTCCACTTTTCAGAACTCTGAGACTGTCCGTCCAATATTGCACGAGCAAATTTAGACAAGTGAATCAAAGTCGAGAAAAAACCTATCATCTATCCTACTACTGTCTATGAGCTTTTTACTATAAAAAATTTGCAATAAATTTCATGAATCTTTGTGGCATTCTCATTGTTTTGTTATCAGCGGAAGCACCCTTTTTTTTCTCTGCTATGTAGCCCATTTAATAAGTTCCGATCAAAGGATTTGGAAAGGGGGTGGATCGTCCAACCAGGAAATTTATATGCATAGTAAAAAGATGTGTTCAGCCGATTAAAAATGAGACAATATAGACTTTAGTGAGTTTAAGGAATTGATGAACACCATTTAGCTTATCATGCCGTCAGTTGAGGTTGCCAGAGTTTTGAATCATTTGCTGCTCCTAGACTACTTAGAAGAGTTATAGCTCTGTTATTCTGTTTGGGGCTTATTGAAGAGCCATATTTTGTTATAGAAGTTACTGCTTTATAGTAGTGATTTAATATAAATTAAAAAAAAAAGGTTTTAACATCTCGAGTAGCACGCAGCAGGGAATGAAAATTGTGGATTTATAAAGCTTGTTAATTAAATGTCATGGAGATTTGAGATTGGAAGTAGTTTCACCATTTTAGGAAACTTCTTTCTTGATGATATTCAAGCCAATACTAGTACCATCCATAGTGATTCAGGATTTTGAGAAAGCAATGCTTTTTTTTTTTTTTTGCATGGAAAGCAAATTTCGCAGTCACATGACTTTTAATATATGTCCTCGTAGTAGAGTGAATTCCCCAATCATTTAGGGTGATCAAGTGGCCATGATGAAAAAGTTATGTTTTTAACATTTGCCATTGTCAATCTTATAGGTTCCTTGTGCAATTTTTGTTCCAGCAATGCCAAAAGTGTTAATCTTCTTCGGGGGAGTAGTACAGACACCTGGGCAGTAAATTTCTGCTTTCAACCTTGTTTTAAAAAAATAAAGGAAAAAGGAATGAAACATTATCACCTTTAGAGTTGCTTTAATTGGCTGCAAGGTGTGATATCACGACATCTTATGGAGATAATAAAGCCTGCACCATGTTTCTGAGCTGCTTTCAGACTTTTGCCCATCTATAGATCTCAAATCAATCCCGTCTAATGTGCTTAACACAACCATTTGTTTGCTTGGCTGTGGAAGAGTACTAATCAACCGTGTCTATTTATTTATCAACTTGATTATTGCATTTTAATGCGACACAATTAAAATGTAATTTTTTTTTTGGTGTGTAAATGTTGCCAAACATCTTATAATTCTGCTGTCAATGGCAGGTTTCATTGAAGGACAAGCCACATACAATGTCTCACTTGTGCTGCTGGTTGTGAAATTTATGAAAAATTACATACGTAGCAGACATTTTACATATCTCACGCCTAAACTTTCATAATTACATACATAGCACTTCGGTGTTTTATACCTTTTGATGTTAAAAGATTTGAGTGCTGTGTGTAAATATGAAATTTTTAGTCTGAGATCTGTAAATACATAAGAATTGTATGCTATGTATGTAAAAGCCCCTAAATTTTATTTTTCTTGGGAGGTGCCCAAACCAGCATCCATTAGTGGCGTTGGCACTCGTTGTCACTGTGGTTAGTTAATCATCTTTCTATTTGGTTAATTGTTTGGTTTGCATGTACTTGAAGCAAACCTTATTTCTTAAATCATTTGTATATTATCTCATTATTCATTGGTCCAATTGTAAATGACGATAATCCTATATATGAAAGAAATACAGCTTTACGATTTTGTTACCCCTCTGCATCATTTCTTTTAATTGAAGTTTATGCTACAAAGAATTGAGCAAAAGCTCACGCCGCACTGGAGTACACATTTCTCTTAAATTTATGATTATTCTCTTAAAAAAAATAATAGTAATAATTAATTAACTGTAGAAAAGTTGTCATGATTCTTCTCCTTATCCGTTCCAATTCCTGCAATTAAGCCCTGCAATTATCAGTCATCCTGGATTCTCCAGTCGTCCTTTGTTTCTGGCATAATTAATGCAGGTTCTGATTATTGGGGTCGGTATGAGGTATTAGTTGCTTCAACTGGAAGCCATGGACTCAATGTGTTAGGCCAACTGCATAAATATTATCAATCTCATGCCAAAACTATCTAATCCTTTACACGTATTCGCAAGAATGACCACATAAACTTTAAAATATGCATTGTTGTGACTACGGTTCTCAACCAATTGTTTTGCCAGGCATATAATTCAAGGATTGCTGGTGACTTGGGTGTGACTTTTGGACTACCGCATAACAAGTGGTTGGTAGAGCAAAATACTGGTTAGTCCAATGCTCCATCAACTCAACTCTATATTATTCCTTCTGGTGCTTGCTAATTAGATTTGAGCAGCGGTGAAAGTGAGTTGGGTTTGGTTGGACTAACTCTAATTTTTTTAAATGAAAACCCAAGGGACATCCGGTGGCTTAAAACTATTTGAACACGAGTCTTTTCTTGGTTGGGTTGGAACAATAAATCCAGTGTGAAAATGATGTTCAATTTTGATAAAAGTAAAATAAATTTTCAAACCAATTTGATCGATGCCCTTAAGAGTTAAAAGAATCCCGGTTTCTTTTCCTTTTAATGGGTTCTTTAGATTGTTGTTTTACCACAATAATTTTTTTTGGTGAAGAGATTGTTCTTGCTAGTTTCCAGCTTCGTATTGGATTAGCCTTTGGTTTGAGATTTTTGTTAGACCATCATACTCCTGATGAACAATAAATTAAATAATATCTACCATTATGAGATCATTATGAAGGTGATTTTAGTTGAACAACCGGGATTTTCCTATGCACTAGGATCAATACCAACAAAATTTGGCATATCATTGTTGGACGAGCTTACGTTATCCTTAGAGCATGGCGCATCTTAAAGGGTAAAATGATCAACTCATCTGAGCATCTTGAGCTTGAGGCATGATAACGTCGATTACATTAAAGTGCAAAATTAGAAATTATTTGATTTAGAGGCACAAAATAGATTCAAATGTTTTGAGTTTAGTCGAGTCAGTTAGACTTTCCGAAGTTGGTCTTTAGGTTGCAAAGAGAAACTTGCTAAGCAAATTAAACTGAAAAAAGAATGTGGTGTAAAAGTAGTCTGTTGCAAGAGAAAATGTATTATTTTTGGAATGCTTTGAAATTATTTGATTCAGTTGGACTTTGCATTTTCTTGTTTGGTATAACGAAAAATAAAATTCATGAAATATATGGCCGATGACGCTAGGTGACTAGCGGCGAACCAAGGTTTGTGAGCATCAGCGATTGTGAATGACATTTTAGTATTGGGAGTTCGCCTAAATCCAATGAATTCCAAATATATTAAAAATGAAATATAGAATTAATTCTAAATCTATTATAATTTACTTTTTTTAAAACAAAAATAAACAGCTCCGAACTGTAACATTATTTGAGCGAAATAGATCTAAATGAAAAATCAATTTCTATCCTCCTGAGATCTGACCCATAAGCTCAACTCAACTAACACTCTAATCCACTTCTAACAACTGCCATATGAATGGCCTGATATTGTATCACCTAAAGGGACTAAATAATAAAAATTCTTCTTCTTAAGAATTTAGAGCAATATAACCAAAGTTAACACTCAAAAGATATCTTTCAAGTTTCCCAAGTGATTTTACCCCAATCTAAATTGATTTGGTATTTGTCCTTTTCTACAGAATGGTAAAAATAGTCAATCATCTAGTCAATCTCAGGAAGCAAGCCCTTGATTCCAATTATTTTCATAATGCATTATTTTATAAATTTGAAAGTATCATTCCAAGTCATCACATGGGGCACAAATTTAACTATTGAATACAGCTTGCCTCCTCTATTAAGGATGTCGGTGTTACGAATCTTCCACAACAATTATTTGAAGTTAAAATATTTTCTATTTGTTCTCACTTGAATCTGAAGAATGTGTAGATCTGGCTTGAGCATGGACCATGATTGAACTGCCACCATAACTTGGAATTTTCTATAAATCCAGCTGGATATTTCTATTTAAATATACATCTACTAGTACCTTGTCATGTTATTAAAATAAATAGGCAATTACATACAGAGCAGCCTAAATCTTGCTATTTACAAATCAAGCACTCTCTTTCATCCATTTTTCAAATTCTCACCCAAACATCATATGTAAATGCATCAGTTTATTATTTCAAAAAATCTCCTGGATGTTTGATTTGTAAATATCAATGTTTCTTGTGCTTTGTATGTAATTATCTCTTTAAAAATTAAAAAAACAATAAATTATATATTTTTTTAAATGGAGTTGGGAGTTATTTAAATGCTATCTATGTTGGTCCAAAGTTGGTTCGGGCTTATTTAATTCCACTTGGCCATCCGTCCTTGATAGTGAATTTATTTCGGTTTGGCTTTTTCTTTCAAACACCTGTGTATTGATAAAATCTAAGAGCATCACACCATTAATCTATTATGCTATGGAATTCAAGTGAGTGGGCCTAAACATTGGCCCAAAACTGTTATTTGTCTGGGTCGCATTGACCCGTCCGACAATAATATTGTTTCTTTTTCAGGTTAGATTGGATCAGAAGAAAACCTTAAATTCAATTTCAATTTTGACTTGACAAAATTATTGGTTCGGGCCGCTGCATTGATCCGACTCATCTATATTGAGCAATCTGACAAGTTTTATGACAGGCCCATTAGATGGAAGTCTGTTTATGCAGACTTTTATTGTTAAGGAGGGCCACCTAATATCTAATTATCATTGAACTAGGTAAGTTGGTAAGTATTTAGGTGTTATATATATAATAAGGGCGCCCTAATTATCAGTGAACTAGGTAAGTTGGTAAGTAAGTATTTAGGTGTTATATATATAATAAGGGCGCATTTACATACATACCACTCTTTTTTATGCATTTGCACTTAGTTTTAATTCTTTCGTATGACATCAAAAGTATCACCTTTTTTTTTATAAAAGTGATGTACATCTTTAGGTAAGATGCCATATATATATATATATTGAAGTCTAGGTGTTAGTATGCAAATACATAAGAATTGAGTGGTATGTATGTAAATCTTCTTATAATAAATTACTGTATATAACAGGATATACAGAAAAAAGGGGATTTGCAATAGCTATAACAGGCAAATAAATAATTGTAGAGTTAGTTGTTTGTCCTCCCTTGTCCCATAAAATTACGGTGAATGATTAATTTTAAATAGTTAAATGTTGACACCTTAACTCTCAAATTAATTCTTTAAAGCCGAAGTTATATTGTCAAAAACCTTTTGTCAGTTACATTATCAAACACTGATAAGCCTCTCCTATCCAGCTATTACAAAAGGATATTTATATAATTTCATTATTTCTTCTGGCCATTTATATTATATGTGACTATCAAATATCTTCATATTATTTCTATGGTTGTCGGAATATAGCAAACAAATTCAAAGTGGGCAATACCATTCAACGTCTTACCTGTCAACCTATCAGTTGAGCTGCCTACGCCATAGTATAAAATTAGGAAGCAAAATATATTTACATTCCTGGACAATTTATATCAAGCATGTACTGTGTTTTCTTATGTCAAACATGTACAATGTAATTCTGCCTACAAGAATGTAGGGTTGTAAACAAGCCGAGTTTGAGCGAGCTCAGGCTTAGCTTGTGTTCGGCTCGTTCGAAATAGCTCGTGTTCGAAATCGGCTCGTGTTCGAAATCGGCTCGTGAACAGAACAGTGTGTTCGTGTTCGGCTCGATTTAAATATTTGTGTTCGCATTCGTCTCGAAATTGGCTCGTTAAACTAAAATTGAGAAAAATAGATGTAAAGTGTGAGATTTGAACCTAGATCAAATCTATACAAAAGAAGATACTAATTGCATTGCCACATGAGGTGATACGATTTAAACTTAGACATAAATATATATAATATATTATTATATAAATAATATATGTAATATATTGTTATATAAAAAGTTATATAATTTTTTTTTCGAGCTATTTCGAGCCAAGCACGAGCAAACAAACAGTTGTTCGTGTTCGGCTCGTTTACATTTCGAGCTTAAAAATTTGTTCGTGTTCGGCTCGTTAGGCTTAACGAATGAGCCGAA